CACCAACTTGCCCTTCAAGACTTGGGTCAAAGACACCTCTCAATTGACCCCCACAACAGGAGGCATATTAGCCTTCGTACAGACATCTACTCTAGCACTCACCACACTCTACTGTGATTTTGGAATTTTGTGATTTTGAAACTGTCCTTGCCTTCGTTTCTTTCTCTCCGCTGTCTCCCACTCTGTGTCAGCTGGGACTGGAAGCAATGTTTGCCACAGGACAGTCTTTCTGAGTGAATGTTATGTCCCTGTGCACTTTCAGTGTGACTAGACATACACTTAGGTGCGGGGAGACATGTGAAAAATACTGTCCTCTCTGTACACATTCTGTGGTGTTTGCATCCGCGGAGCACTCACTCAATAAGTATAGGGAGAAGGAATGAGCGAATGTACCAAGGAAACCAATGTGTGAGGCAGTCCACCTGCCAGGTATGTGCCCGGTGCTTCCACACAGGTTAGCTCAGGGAGACAGGTGACGGATCTCAGCAGATGCCCGCCCCGCTCCCCTCACACCGGCTTGGTGACATGAAGAGAAAACATGGGGGCAGGGAAGAGTACCTTTAAAGTAACTGAGAATTGCCGAGGAGGGAATTAGCACCTTCATACTAAACTGCTAAGGACAGACAGAATGGTCCATAAGGACCCGTGCTGTCAAAGGTAACTCAAGATGGTAGCAGAAGGACCCCATCTGTGTCCACTCCACACCTTATAAACTCTGGTGACATTGGGCAGGTTCCTCCTCCCCCTTCCCCAGCCTCCTCCTCACCTCCCCACCCTTGAACCTGACTGTGAGAATTCGGTACGTAATGTACACGGACGCTTTCCTCCCCATAGTGCCAGGTACAAGTTTGTTGGTAGTTTTATCTGAGTGGTTCCTTTTCCTTAGGAGTGCGGCTTACTTTTAAATCATGTTGTCAGTGGGGTAGTCAAACTATATGAAGAAAAGAGGATGTCGACGCACTAAGTAAATAAAGAAATAGGATTGTATATAAAAGGTCTGGTAGCTCTGTCTCTCCTTGCCGGAAAAAAATGCTAACTTCCAGGGCTACATTATCCTTAACAGATTCCCGGCGGCACTGCTTGCAGCCAGCTGTAGGTGCAGGGAGGGGAGGAAGAGAATTCACAGACTCAGAAGGCCTCTCTCTGCATCCCTTTTTCTAAAGCAGATTGAAAGATCTCAGCAGCTAGGGAGGAAAACTGTCTAGAAGCCAACATCCTGATAATTTATTTTGAGCTTATACTGCACACTGGGGTGTCCACTGCCCTCTCCCCCTCAAACTTACATCCCCAAATATTAAAAACACACATAAGATGTTGGATATTTTTCAAGTTTTCTGAGATGCCACTGATAAGTATCAACATGCGCTGGCTTAGAATTAACCCTGGGTCATCCTGCATATATTTTCCACGTGGAAACAAATTGAGGAAAATATTTTATACGATCTGAACTTATATCCCTCTTTAAATTCATGCTGTGGGGCTTAAACAAAACCAAATCCTTTCCCCACCACCTAGCTGCAAAAATACTATTTATTTTTCTTGCAAATGGACCATATACGTAGGTAAAACAAATGTCTTTCTGTCTTGAGATGTATATATCTTTTCTGGCCAAGCTCCCCAAAGCCAAACATCTAACAGAATGACTGATATCACCATAGCTTGAAATAAAAACAACAACTTTACCTCTCATCAAGCAGAAATCAGGAGGTCTGGATTCTAGGCCCAATTTGGCCATGACCTAGCCTGGGCACTGTGGCCCGTCTCTCCAGCTCTCCGTTCTTGCCCTCTGTTTAGTGAACGGGTGGGGTGCGCTTGGGCGTAGGAGAGGAGTTGATCTGAAACCCCACCCAACTCTAAAATCCTATGACTCCAGATCAAAACACGGGTAAACAATGGCAAGATCTTGTACAAATATATTGTAATATTGACTTAAAACATGGGTACCAAGAAGTCTTCTCTATAAGGCCCTCTTCAAAGGAAACCCCCAATTTCCAATTTTGACCCGGGTCCATCTATTTTTCTCATCAGTTCCTTTCACATAGTAACACCCCCACCTGCTGGAACTTTAGGTTTGTGCTGCTAAAGGTCAGAGGTGTTTGGAAAGGTTCCATGGCCTCAGCTCAAGCTGGGGTCCCAGGGGAGGGTCCCTCCTCCACTGAGGGTCCCTCCTCCCACTCCTTTATAAAGGAGGGTAGAGCTCCGATGCTGAGAATCCGTCCTCCCGTGCATTAGGGCTGCCCTGGCTCAGGGAATGACTAACACCACCCCCCCGCCCTATCCCCCGGTAATGGGCAATCAGTGTGGGTCAGAATTTCTGCACTTTTCTGAAAGATGATCCTTGGCTTCCTCCTCAGAGCCTCACTCCCAGGGATATAGTTTATGCCTCTGGGATTGGAGTTCCTTGGAAACACAACCAGGAGTCTCAACACAGCATGGGTTTTATGTGGTCAGAGGCAGGCCAGGGGGTGGAGGCCGTGGGAAGGCATGGATCTCAGCTCCACATTGCTGCAATGGCCCGCCTCAGCCTAAAAGACCCTGAAATCTGTCTGTCAGGTGAGGGAGCCACTGGGGGTTTCAAGGAGCCCAACCCTACTCTTCAAGACCAGCCCGAAGCTCTCGTTGCAGAATCAGAGAAGTCGGAGGCCCGGGGGTTTGGTTCTGCCTCTGCACTTGCCCTGGGAGAGTCAGTCAGCTCCCCATTCGGGCCTCTGAAAGCGGGGAGATGGATGAATGGCCTTCGGTTTTGTGGTTCTACAGTTTCTGTATGTCTCCTACACCCCCTGCATGCTGAGTAAAGCCTCCCATGATGGAGCTGTCTCTGCTGGGCCACCTCATCTCCCAGGCCCATCACCAATGGTGACGCTTCCGGGTCTCATCAAGGGGCCAGAAGGAGAGGCGTAGACTCTATGCAAGGGCTGTTGTCTGACCTCTGGGCTCTAGGGAGGGTGTAGCCGCCTCAGGACAGGAAAGAATGCCAGCAGTCCCTGAGGAGGGGCTGTCCAGAGCTGACATCAGTCAATAGGCTCCAGGGCCAAGTGGATTAACCGTCCTTCTCCCAAGCTCCCCACCCACGCCCCGGGGAGCCCCACACCACTGTGGCTCAGCTCCCACCTCCCAGACTGTGGCCCTAGCTTCCGAGCCCAATCCCAGCACAGAGCCCAGCCAGCTGGGCCCGCAGAGGTGAGTTAAACAGTAACAAAAGCGGCCTTGGGATTAGTGGTGACTGATGACCACCTCCTTTCCCTGGGCTCAGCGAGCACAGACCTCCTCTCTCCTCTTGAGCCGGCTGAAGAACGGTTGCCAAAGAGTTCCTGACAAGCACCCCTCTGGTATGTGGGCAGCGTTCCTGATTTCCCTCTAAAGGTCATCTTTCCACAGTTCCTCCCTTCCTGCCACCCCATCAGGAGTTGTTTATTTCACACAGCTAAATGCCATGGTCCTCCTCAGCTCCCTTGGCAGCAATCCATCAGAGCGCAGTCAACAAAGAGAGCAGGAGAAGGCAGCAACCCAAAGACAAAGTATGGTGCCCAGCCCAGTTCCTAAGTGTGACCCTGATATGTCACAGATGTCCTAGATCATAGCCAGACTCCCTTCCTTGGCCATCAAAACTTGCCTTTTGGCTCCTGCAGGGTCCAACAGATCTCCTCATCTAGCCAGGACACCGCTAGCTCAGCCTTTGGCTGCTCTAGAAAGGGACTCCAGATAACGCTAGAAAGACTCTGAGGCACATACATTGTTTTGTGGATCACAGCATCTAAGGTGAGGGGGATGTGTGAAGTCCAAGGTTATGTGTAGGCACACCTTGTCCTCAGGTATGTCCATCACTTTAGTGACAAAATACTGTCACAAATGTTTTCTCTGTTTGATCCTGATCACTGCCGTGGGAAAGGGAAGGACCGTGGAAGGAAGAGACACCTCGGAAAAGGGCACTATTAAGGAGCCAGGTCTCTGGTCATGCATGACTGGGAGGAAAGTATATTTTAAGGACCTTCTGGAACCAAAGATTGGCCTTAGGGAAACCCATCCATCTGGGTCCAAAGTGTGAATCTGAAGAGGTGCCTGTCCCTGAGTGTCTAGGGCAGAAGGTGGAGGCAGGCGCTCTTTCCCAGCCGTCTCCCCGCAAAGCCAAGACTGCAGTACAGATGCCCTGGAAGAGGATAATCCGTGTATGCCTCACACAGGGTCGCAGCATTTCAGAGCCCAGCAATTCTAGATGCTGGCATGCTTTTGCAACTTGGTTAGGAGACACTATTCATTGAGACTTGGCTGGGAGACTTATTCTCCTCTGGCAATCTCTCCAAGGTTCTAGCGGGGAGAATAAACGCTAGAAAGGAGTGCTAACTAGATAAGTCGGCTTGCCTTATAAGCACTGTAGGAAGTACCCTTGTCAGAAAGACGCCCTTACCGAGACTTGGGGGCCTGCCAGGAACTGAGATCCCTCGCATCTCTCCTCAGTTGGTGGCAAAGGAGGAAAACAAAGGGACCCTGCTTTGCCTCCAGGCCTTTCCCCACGCAAGTACTCAGGGAAGCCATGCATTTTTTAATGAGGCCAGTAACTGAATTTTAGCATCTCCTGTGATTTTAGGAAGAACGTCTGAACCGGTGTATTACATAGAATGATAATGAACACTTGCTGATTCCTAACCTCATGTCCAGGCACAAGCACTTTATGTGATGAACTCACTTAATGCTCACAGTGATCCTGTAAGGTATGGACTCTTTTATCCACATTCCACAGATGAGAAAACGGAGGCCCAGAGATTACATAGCTGTCTAGTGAGGCAGCCAGGAGGGAGCCTAGGAAGTCTGCCTCCAGGTCCTTCTACACAACCCCGGGGCTTGTACCACACCTGGAAACGTAGTCTGTGTCCCTGGAGTACACTGTCTCTTGGTGGAGCCCTGACACAGGTAGGGGGCTCCTTTAACATCAAAGCCCTGGACCATGGGTCCAGCCCCTGAACCCTCAAACTTGTGTGCCTTTCTGGGTGACAGCTATTCTCATGCTGACACAGAATCCAGTGACCCCAACAAAGTTTCCTTACTGGCATCCCCTGCTCTGTCTCCTTTATCTCCTTTCTCTCCTTTTGGGCCTCGGTCACCTGAAATAGAGGAGAAAACTGGCATTAGAAATGGAAATAAATCCTAATCATCATAATAAAGGGCTAATATGCAAATGGTTGTCATGCCGTGACACCATAATGACCAATCAGCAAGGACCTGAGGCTGTGTGGTGCCTAGCCAGGCTGGGTGACCTCAGGCCACACCCCCACCCCAGTGCCGGGCCCAGGGACCTCAGGCCACGCCCCCCGCCCAGCAGGGCTTGACTTTGACGGGTGACCTGAGGCTGCACCCCCCCCATCTGGCGGGGCTTGACGGGGGTGGGGCCGGCTGGGTCTGGGTCTCATGTGATTTCCAGCCACGTGCGGGTGGGTGGGGACTTGACTCTGGGTTCCTCGGCACACCCCAGACTCTGACAGCCTTGGCAATAGTTCCTAGGATATTGGTTGGCACTCAAAGGGTTAAAGAGAAAGGGCAAATAGCAATATTAAAATATTTCCTCTAATTCATTCCCTTTTAATGTGCACAAATTTCACGCACTGGGCCACTAGTAGTAAATAAAGTATTATCTGCAGGAGACATTTTTAAAAATAGTTTTTTAATTGATTTCAGAGAGGAAGGGAGAGGAAGAGAGAGATGGAAATATCAATGATGAGAGAGAATCATTGAGCGGCTGCCTTCTATACACTCCCTACTGGGGATTAAGCCCACAATCTGGGCACATGTCCTGACCAGGAATCAAACCTGTGACCTTCTGGTGCATAGGTGACCTTTGACGCTCAACCACTGAGCCATGCTGGCCAGGCTGCAGGAGACTTATTAACCCAAAACCAGGGAGAACCTCAGGCAGGAGCCAGCAGCCCCAAAGGGCAGGCCATGGCAGGAAGGAGCTACCTGGGGAAGGTAGAAGGCGCCCAGCTGAGAAGTTTCATTTCTTCCTCATTAAAGCCTCGAACACCAGCACAGACTAAAGGAGTGCGTGGTATTCAGCAGAAAGAAGACAAAGCGAAGACATTCCTATTAAACACTCAAGGTTTTCGAAGTCTACATCCAAGTTCACTCTAATAAGCAGAGGAAGAGAGAAGCGGGGAGGGTCTTCAGTGACAGAGAGAAAGACAGGGGTTCTGTGTGAGGCAGCTTTACTAGTGGCGGAGGCCAGGACACATGGAGGAGAGTTCCCAGGGAGCTGTGGGATGCCCTTCCCAGGGTATGGTCTTTTCCCAGCTCGCCTCTCACTGTACACAGAAGTAATGGGTCCTGACACCACTCGAGCAGGCATTACAACGACCCAGCGATTCTATTCCAAGCACCCTCAGAAAGCTCTCTGCAGATTAAAGGCCCAGGGCATGATGTCTGGCGGAAATAAGCAAGCCAGCCAGTTCCAGGGGAGAACTCCAAGGATGATCCAAGTTTTGAAAAAAACCGAAGGCAACCATAAATGTAAATATAACTATGGATGTGTTTAGAAAAGGTCTGGCAGGATAGGCTCCAAACTGTTTATGGTGGTTATTCTACAGAGTAAGAGCTTAAGGGACCAAGGGTGGGGGGCTGACTTTTGACGTTATACTCCACACTTCTGTGTCGTTGGGTTTTTTCAGTAAGGATGTTTTGTTGTGGTACTCTGTTTCGAAATCCATTTAAAAAACGTGGGTCATAAAAGGAAGGAAAACCTCAGCTTGTTTAATCACCAACCAGAAGGTAGAATCAAAGTTCCCAGGGATGGAAGATGAGACCATCCTAGACATGGGGTGGGAATGACTAACAGCACGTTTTTCTTAGATTTCATCTTAACAAGTGAGGAGGTCGAGCCCGGTCATCTTCTGCCACGATGCAGGTCTGGACACTCTTGAAATAAACGTGGAAAGACAGGGACTGACTATAAAGTGGGCTCCCCTAACAACGAACAAGGTGCCTATCAGTAGGAAGAAAAAATGAGAAGAAAGACTATTGGCAATGGAAAGCTGAGAACTGGTTCCAGTTTGACATATTGGGGGAATACAAAGACTGGGGGACTGGGAGGAGGTGGCAGTACAGGAGAGCAGGTGACAGTCCCAGGTCCCCTGCGGGCCCCTCTCCTGGCCGGGCTTCCTCCTAGCGGCAACCTCGTAGTAGTACTGCTGGTTCTCACGTGCATTTCGACAGCACTTCTGAGCTAACAAAGTGTGTTCCCACAGTTACATCCCATTGAATCCTCATGACAGCTCTGCGAAATATGGCATCCCGAGAGTCTAGGGTGGGGATGAAGACACGGATGTTGAACGATGAGATTAAGTGACTTGCTCAGGGTCACTCAGCTGGCCTGTGGCATAGCCAGAATTTAGAGCCAGTCCGTCCGCTGCGATGCCCATGCTGGTGCCCAGGGGCCAGCCGTGAGCAAGGGTGCTCTGAGACTCATTATTACCTTTGATCCCGCGCATGCCCATCACGCCTGTGGCTCCTGGCCTCCCGTCATCACCCTTGGGGCCGGGCAGTCCTGGGGTTCCTCTCTCCCCTGGTAGACCTGGGGAGACAAGAGACAAGTTGGGGCCCTTCGAGGTTACCGTCTGGCTCAGCAGTTGACTTCAACCATGACCCCTCCCGTTGCCTTTGCTTGCTGATTCCTCTCAGGTAACCTAAAGGCAGTGTCCCAAAGGTCAGCATATGCCTGTCCCACTGACACCCTTTATCCAGGGAGGCTGGACACTTCCCCCCGAAAAATCCACTTCTCCTGAGTGATGGTGGTGGTGGTGCCACCCCCATTGGAGATTTAAATTTGGCGACATTTTTTCTTGGAGCGTTTTTTATGTGATAGGCACTGTTCTGGATGCTTTGTATAAAGTATCCCATTTAACCCTCCCAATAAACTAGGGTAAGTATTATTTCACCTGCGCTACAAATGAGGAAAGTGCAGCCCAGAGAGATTGAGTAACCTGCCCACGGTCACACAGCAGCGTGTCAGAGGCTAGATCTGACCTCTGGTCTTTCTGAACTAAAAGCTCAGGGTTAGTTGGTTCCATCTCACGCTGATGAAAAGGGTGAGATGGTACTGGTACTGAGGGTGGGAGGAAGATGAAATAGCTCCCCACCCGGGGAGCGTAGAGACAGGGACAGTAGGCTGAGGAGGAGGAAGAGAGTCAGCAAGGTCAGTGAATGGGATGATGGATGGCCTGCGACCAGATCAGGCCCGGGGGCTCCTGACCTGCCACCAGGGTGAGCCAGAATCAACAAACGTTTCCACCCAGTGACAGCCCTGGGCCCCCGGTGGCCTTAGCCCACAGTTATCTCTGCAAACAGTGCAGCCTTAGTTGCTGATGAACTGTTCTTTGCTGCGTTGAATGTTAGTTTTCTTTGGGCTTTTTCTCTAACGAGAAGAAACCTGTCTCCCAGTAATGACTCCTCCAGAGTTTATGTCAAACGGCTGGAGGAGGGCAGGTGGCCCATAAGGGTGGCAGGACCTCAGAGAAGGGCTTCATTTCTTTTTCTCCTTCCTCATGCACTTTTCCCAGAGTCCAATGGCTTCGATGGCACAGAACTGTGAGTCTAGTGCAGGATGTGCCCAGGGATCCCCATCCTATCATTTACTAAAGCAGGAAAAGGGGTGCTGTTTTGAGTTTAGGGAGCTCCCCTGAGAAGGGGAGGCAGGGAATGAAAGCCAGGCCACAGGCTCTCCATCCGTCAGCCGCTGCCTCCACTCCTGCTTGCAACCTCCTTAGGGATTTAGGAAGGAAATGGTTTGGAGGTACGTTTCCTGATATAAATAAACAGACACCTGTCCCCTGAGAAGCTCTTCCTCTTCTTACATTGTTCAGAAGACTTTTCACTCTGCTAGAAAAATGTTGCTCACAGTAGAGGCTCAGGAATGGACAGACTGGAATGCAAAGTTTGATAGAGTAACGGAACAGGAACGTCCAAGACAATGAGAGTAAGGAGAACATACGGCACATCCTTGAGTAATGTTGTTTCATTCAGTGTCATTTCATTATAACATTGATGAGATGCCATAGGAACTTAACTCATTTCTATCAGTTAGCCTAAGGTAAAATTGGTTCGTTACCTGTTGCTTCACTTAAAATCACAGAACCCATCCATGAGGCTAAGTGAGGACTTACTGTACACTTTCCAGAAGGCAAAAATATACCTTCCCTACCAGCCACTGGATCTCCGGGGCTGTCACCAGTGTGTGTGGCAGGATAGAGAGGTAGGCGAGGGGCAGGTATTCA